TAGTCAAAGGTCATTTTGGAATTAGACAACAATGGGAATGTCATTTCCTCCAATTTCCTCGCAATCAGATACATTGAACCACAATTTCAATGTAATTTTTAAACACCTGTGTAAATTCCACACACAAAAAATTAAAACAAAAAAAATGAAACTCTTAAAACCTGCCATTGCCCAATTCTCATACCCATCACAAGCCCAAACATCTTGATCCATCTCTCTTCGTCTCCAATTCTCTCTTCGTTGTGTTTCTCTAGGGTAAAATTCACCAATGACTATTCAACTTTATATTTGGTGTCATTATGGTCACAAAATTTGATTTTATTTCACCGTAGCCATCCAACTTTACATTTAGTATCACCATAGCCACCCAATTCGATTTTATTTCACAATGGCAATCCAATTCAATATTAAGTTTCATCAAGACCATTCAATTTCTTTTTACCATTTTCATTAATTTTAAAAAGGTAAAACTACAACTTTGCATTATACATATAAAATAAATTTAAAATAAAAACTTATTTTAAAAAAAGTTGCTTAGAAAAATAAATAAAATAAAAATTTATTTTAAAAAATGTTTTTAAAATTTTTAAGAAAACTTTTATTTTTTTAAAAAAAATTATTTTATATATATAATAAAAAGTTGCTATTTTACCATTTTGAAAATTAGTGAAAATGGTGAAAAAAATTGGGTGACCATGGTAAAATGTTATACGAAATTAGATGATCATTGTAAAACGTTATACGAAATTAGGTGACCATGATGACGATAAGTATAAAGTTAGGTGGCCATTGATGAAATTAACATGTTTCTCTCCGCATCTCTGACTATTGAATATGCCCAGCAGACTGCAATATTCAATTGGGCAGAACTAATTGAGTATGTCTTCTTACTCTTTCATACCGAAACGCCCTTGATTTCATTCCAAGGTTAGAACTATTTTACTAATTTTTTTAATTGGGTCTTTATAAATTCATAGATATAAAGATGCACATTATTTTTTTATTCTCATTTTCAACCACATATTCTGCAATAAAATAATATTTTTCATCACATCAATAACTTCTTCTTTTTCAACCATATATTTTCCAGTAAAAATGCATTCTTACCTTCAAAATGTGTACCAAACGGGGGCTAGTACTTGTTAATTATTATGTTCTTTATCTTTATTTGGTCGAATTCTATGCTTATTGCAAATTGCGATCTCAGATTTTGTTTGAATAGTTCAGAAATTTTAGATGTAAATTTTTCTTCTTTTTGTTTGAATATTCTTGTAACCAACAGAATTGAAGGTTTCTTTTGTGTTCTGTGCTTGTTGATGGTGGATAAATTAGAAACAATGAATAAGGAGCAATCGCATGGACATGATGAGCTATGAACACTTCATGCCATACATCGAAGTCGAAAGTGCATTTTTAACCTGGGCCCAATTTAATCCAAAGAATTGGAAAGGCCTTTATTTGTAGCAGACTGCTTAGGCTCAAAATATTGGAATGGCCCA